ATAAAAATACTTTTCCACAATCCAAACAACCTTGAATTTTTTCAGATTTTTTAAGTGCTTCAGGCCTTCAGAAAAAATCATTGAAAATTCTAAAAATCGAGATACAGCGATATGAGCCGATATGAGCATATCGCTGTATCTCGATTTTTAGAATTTTCAATGATTTTTTCTGAAGGCCTGAAGCACTTAAAAAATCTGAAAAAATTCAAGGTTGTTTGGATTGTTGAAAAGTATTTTTGTGAATTTTTTCAGATTTTTTAATTGCTCCATGTCCTCAGAAATAATATAGATCGAAGATGGACGTTTATACCGAAAGTGGGGGGTAGGAGGGGGAGGGGGTCTAAAAATTTTTTTTGGGACCTCTTTACCATGTACTATAACATACTAAAAGCGCGTCAAGATCGGTGACATACGTGCGCACGGTTTTGTAAAAAAGTATTATTTTGACCCATAGATATAAATAAACAAATAAATAAACGAACTAAAAATCTGGAAGTGTAACACCTGTGCTCTCTACGTAAATCTGTGCTTGTATATATATAATCTGTACATATGTATTATTATCATTGTTATTATTAATTATTTATTAAGCTACACTTCACAATTCTTAAGTAATACAATTTTAAAATTGCAAACAAAATATGCGATTTATCTGTACATAATCACTCTCTATACCCTAAGTACGAGAGTAAAAATTAACAAAATACCTATACAACTAATGTATTTATACCTATACAACTAACGTATTATTGTTGCTTTACGGCCAGTCAGGGTTGTACTCCAAGGTCGAATAAAAATTGTTTAATCAATCAATCAATCAATCCGTCACATAGTGATATGCGACGATTAGGGGTTCAGGGACTCATCTTTTTTTCTACTTGGTGAACCTCCGATCCTGCACGATGCCATCGTCGATTGTCGTGTCCTCTTTTTCAGAGCCGTCTGCTGCGTGGTCACACATTGCTGGCATCTCCTCCTGAGTTGGACATCTTCTTTAGAACTCGCTGTCTAGTGCCATCTTGTGAGTGTGGTTCTCGCTTCTGCCGCCGATGGCAAGTGCCCAATTTGCTCTGTTGGCTACATCTTGTGAGTGTGGTTCTCGCTTCCGGCGCTACCCTGTGAGCCTCCGTGAGTTTTAGATGCTCCTCCTTTTCTGTTGTCGTCTTGTGAGTGTGGTTCTCGCTTCAGACGCCATCATGCGGTCCGCAACGAGCCTAGGCTCCCGCATCCGGCGCCCTCTTGTGAGTGTGGTTCTCGCTTCTGACTTCATCATGGGAGTGTTGTGCTCCACCTATTGCCAGCCTAGTGAGTCCTGGCCTCGGGCTCCTACTTATGGCTATTCTGTCGCTTCCAGCTCCCACAGTGATCGGGGTTTTTTTTACCGCTTCGGGGGCTGATGACATAGCCCGGGTCTTCATTTTGAGGGGTACCCGATCCACCTCGGGCACGGGCTCGACCACACCAGGCGAAAAAACGAACCTCGTAAATTCACCAAGTGGGGATCGAACCCATGCCCTACGGCACACCTTGTATCAGCAGGCAAGAACTATACCCACTGAGCCGAGAAGGCCGATAGCGTGTGTGTGTGTGTGTGTGTGTTTTTTTTTTTTTTGGATATATTAATATATTTTATTTAGCAGAAAGTGAAAATAGAAGTTTACATTGGGTAAAATGTAACAATAGAAATGAGAGTATAAAATATTGAGTTAGGGTACATAGATTACGTAGATACATCCACATCAATTTGCCTTTGTTCCTTCCCCGCGGAAACCGCCGTTGGGCATTACTTCACGGGGGCGGAGGGATTGGCGTTTTGCGCTTCATGAAGGCTTGGATGGAGTTGCGTCTTCTTTCAGCCGCATCGTCCGGTCATCACCTTCTGTCTGTTTCCTCGTCTCTCAGTCTTATTACGACTGAGTAGGCGAAGGAAGCAACTGCGAGCCAGTTCGGCTCGCTCGCGAGCATGAGCCTGGTGGTGTTTTCCGGCGTCATGACCTCGTCAAGCAAGGAGTGTAGTCTCACTCTTTCTTCACTGAACCTCGGGCAGTGATAGAACACGTGCTCCGCATTCTCGATGGATAAGGGGCAGACCAGGCAATGCGCGCTTTGATTGTGGTCGTAGCGTCGGCTATGGTGTTTAAAGTAACCATGCCCAGTCAAGAGCTGCGTAAGGTGGTAGTTCAGCTCTCCGTGCCTCCTCTCGATCCACACTCTGATGTTTGGGATCAGACGGTGCGTCCATCGGGCCTTCATTGATCGGTCCCATGCTTCCTGCCACTTGCTTAGCGTTGCCAAGCGTTTCTCGTCCTTTGCGTCCTCTCGGCGGCGGCCGTAGAGTCGCGCTTGCTCGTCCGCAAGAAGGGCCAGCGGTGGTATGCCGGCAAGGACATATGTGGCCTCGTAAGAGACATGCGGCCGGCCTCCGATCACACGCATGCAGGCTCGTTGGAGGGCTGACTCCGCCTGGCGAATGTAGGCTCGCTTTTATGCTGCTGTGCTCCAGGTGGGGGCTCCATACAGGAGTATGGAGTCGACGGCGTGGGCATACAGCTTGCGTCGGTTGCTTCTGGGCCCGCCAGAGTTGGGCGTGATCTTCGTAAGGGCACCGATCACATCGGCTGCCTTCGCGCTGACTGTTCGGAGGTGGTGGTCGAACTTCAGCTTGGCATCGATGTGCTGGCCCAGGTAGCGGATGGAGGGGGACGAGCGTATGCTGTGTTCGCCTACCATGATGGTGATGGTTTCCTCTTTTTTCCTGCTTGTGATGAGCAGAGCCTCCGTCTTGTGGTCAGCCGTTTGTAAGCTGAGAGCCTGGAACGCGCCTCGCATCTGTAGGATCGCAGCGTTCAGATCGTGTTCAATCTGCCATAGATGCTTGGCGACAGCCTCCACTGCGATGTCGTCCGCGAAGCCGACGATACGAACATCACCATCGAAGTTGAGGCGTAGGATCGCGTCATACATGACGTTCCACAGGATCGGGCCCAATACTGACCCCTGCGGGACACCTGCTGTGACTTCGTAGGACTCTAGACCATCGTCCGTGGTGAAATCGAGCACTCTTGCCGAAAAGTAGATGGAAATTATTTTCAGCAAGTAATCGGGTACGAGCAAATGGCGTAGAGCGGCGAGAATGTTGTCCCACCGAGCTGAGTTGAACGCATTCCTCACGTCGAGTGTCACTACGGCGCAGTACTTCTTGGTGCCGTGATACCATCTCTTGCCGGCGATGGCCTCACGGGCGGTGGAAATAACGTCTTCGATGGTATCTATCGTTGATCGCCCTTCCCAGAAGCCATATGCTCCGAGAGGCCTCCGGGTCCCTTTGTGAAAGCCCCCAGCCGGTCGCATATGATTCTTTCGAGAATCTATCCCGCCGTGTCCAGCATACATAGCGGACGATACGAGGACGGCTCGTCAGGGGGTTTACCTGGCTTTGGAAGCAGGTCGAGCCTCTGGCGCTTCCAGCGTGACGGAAATACGCCGGTCTCCAGACACGTCGTGTACACCCGCAGGAAGATGTCGGGACGTGCAGCAATAGCGAGCTTAAGCGCCGAGTTGGGTAATCCATCCGGGCCGGGCGCCGAGCGCTCCTTGATCCTCGACTGAGCTACTTTGAGTTCCTCCAAGGTGACGGCTGAGATAAGGTCTCCCGCCCGTCGCGGCAGCTGCAAAACGGGCCCGCTTGGCGCTCGCGGAAACAGAGCCGCTACCACGCTGCGTACCAGGAAAGGGGAGCTGGGCTGCTTAGTCTGCGGGCATCGCAGGCGCGACATGGCGATCCTGTAAGGTTTGCCCCATATGTCGCTGTTGACCTTGTCGCAAAGCTGTCTCCAGCACCGGCGCTTGCTGGTCTTGATCGCCACGCGCAGTAGACACCTTGCGGAGGCGTAGTTCGCGCTGTGGGCATCCTCGTCCTACCGGCCACGCGATCTTTGGAAGAGTCTGCGAGCCCGCAGGCAAGAGCGTCGAAGATCAGCGATCTCCGCCGTCCACCAGTACACCGGCTCGCGACGGCGGCGTAGGTTTGCCTTGGACATGGAGGCATCACATGCGCCGGTGATGATGTCCATGAAGCTCGACGCCATATCCTCCGCATGGCAGAGAAACGGTCCGCATCGAGTGTACAGGCGTTCCATCTGCAGCTCCGGCTCGTCGAGGGCCTGGTCGAAGTCCCGGCGTCCTTGATCTCAAAGACGATGGCCTGATGGTCGGTGTACTTGTACCACCCACTTACCGTCCATGATAACACGCGAGGCGCAAGCAACTCGCAAACAAACGTCAGGTCGACGACTGAGCTGCCCTGTCGGTCGTTCAAGGTTGGCACGTCACCGGCGTTGAGCAGCACCGCATCGAGGAGAGCGAGCGAGTCAAGCAGGATGGGGTGGTAGCCGCAGCGCCAAGCACCTTGCCAAGCTCCTCACCGAGGGCGGGGGCGTTGTCCACGCCTTTCTTCAGTTGCAGCACTTAGGTACCCGCGGCGATGCGTCTGATGTTATTTACTCTGCGGCCGACAGTCTGCTGCAGCGCTTGCTTTCCTTTGAGCTTCTTCAAGATATCGCGGTACGCAGACGGATCACTTGCCTTGATGATGATTGCGTCCGGACGATGATGAACCCGGCGATGCGGTGGACACGGCTTCGGAGCTTGGCGGGCAGAATCATCGTTGGTTGGCATCGGGGGCTGCGGCTTGTGCTGCTGACGACGTCGATGGTCCACAAGGACGTAGTTGTCGCAGTCCTCGGTGACGTTGTTGTTCTCGTCTGACCTTGTGGGGCCCGAAGGCAGTGTTATGTACCGATGGTTCGACCTCGCGATGGGAGCCGTCGGCTACGGGGGTCCCTCAAGGATCGTCCACTGGGCCTATACTGTTCCTCATATACATCAATTCACTGCTCCAGGCCCTCGGTCACAGTAAGAACAATTACATGATGTACGCCGACGATTTGCAGATTTATGGACATTGCGCACGAGGGGACCTGCCGGCCTTGGTACGAAGTATGAACGAGGACGCGGCGACCATCAAGGATTGGGCGGATCGTAACGGGCTCATATTGAACACGGCGAAGACGAAGGCCGTTCTGTTCGCCAGCTCCCAGCAGCGACGCTTTTTCAGCGACGCGGATGTCCCGCCACTCATCGTAAACAACACCATCATCCCGCTGGAGGACAAGGTGTGTAATCTGGGCGTAACGATGTCCAAGCATGTTCTGCATCGTCTGCGATATAGAGCAGGGATGCTTAGTTGCCATATACGGAGGGAGCTTGCGATGACCTTGGTTCTGCCACTATTGGACTATTGTTGCCTGGTGTACCTTGAGCTTCCAGAGTACCTCGCTACTATGCTGCAGCGCGTTTGGCACGTAGCCGTACGATTTGTTTTTGGCCTCCGCCGTGACGAGCGATTGGCACCTTTCCTCGAAAGAATGGGCTGTGCCAGTCTCGAGGAAAGGAGAAGATATTTCGTGGGCCTACAGGTGTACCGGGCAGTATCGCTGCGACGACCCCATTACATCAGCGAGATGTTTCAGCGCCGAGACACGGGGATGGCGCCGCAGACCAGGAGCAGTTCCCTGCCTCAACTGACGGTGCCTGATTCGAGTTCTGAAATGCGGCGGCGCTCCTTTTCCATCATGGGCGCGAGAGTGTGGAACGAGCTGCCGCTGGCGGTTCGCAATGCCGACTCGGTACCACAATTTCGCCGCCGACTGCGTGCCTACCTCGCGAGCTGCCACTAAAAATCCAGATTATGAAATAAATGTTCGTTGTCGTGCGATTTTAGGTTTTAGATTTTAGTTTTCAGATTTTAGATTATAGATTTTAGATTACTGTAACTACCCATGTAACACCTACTCATGTAAAACATTTGTAATAATTTCTCGTTTAGTTCACTATCTTTATGAGATGAACTTCAATAAAACAACAATCAATCAATCAAAGCTCCCGCGCTACGCTTTGGCGGCACGCGCATCTCCGGTGACGATTCCGCAGGCCGCTTGCTCATCGCACTGCTCGAAAACAAAGGAGAAGTGCAGACCGCCTTATCTGCTGCAGGAGGGCGAGGCGGCACCTGGCTATCCAGGGACTTCACCAGCGCTGAGAGGGCCATTCCAAGGCTCAGCTGGTAGCTGAACACCTCCTTATGTAGGTTGGTCTTGCCTTTTATGAATCGGCCAAGACCCCGTATAAGACCGTCCATCCGCTCGAGCTTGTCCTCCAGGGTCCCGGTCGCGAATTCCGCGAGAGACGGGAGCCCGGCGTCCTTTTCCTTGCAATGCAGAGGAGCAACGATAATCTTCTGCGTAATCGCTTTCACTATTGAGCAAGGAGGCGTCCGCGGCGACGAGAGTGGGCCACGCTCCGCAAGGCTCGGCATGCTGGGACTCTTGTTCGACGTCTGCCCCTGTGGGCTCTGCAGCCCGTCATTCACAGCCAATGTCATGCCACGAGTCGCACACGCTTTCAGCGTTCGCACCACAGCGCGAGGCAGGCTCTCACACCAACGAGCAAAGCTCACACCCACAGCGCAGTACGCGGGAAAACACACAGCAGAGGAAAAAAAGCACTGCTACAACTGTACACGCACAGCTACAGAGCTGCACACACATGTACCGACGCGGCGCGTCAAGCTGCACACTTGGCGCACACCACAGACACTTCGGCACTTCGTATGACTGCACTAGGATTTAAAATTACAGGAGCGCGAGCAACACACGTCCTACTTACTTTTTATTCCAAGCGCGAATCCGTGTGTGTGTGTGTGTGTGTGTGTGTGTGTGTGTGTGTGTGTGTGTGTGTGTGTGTGTGTGTGTGTGTGTGTTTGTGTGTGTGTGTGTGTGTGTGTTTGTGTGAATAACACGGTAGGGTGCCGTATGACATTGCCCGGAGTAGACGCAGGTGTACAGCGCAGCGTACACGCAACCTCATGAATTTAGCTACGTGGCTATAGGTCGACGAGTAGAGCACGCGTCCGTAGCGACGGCCATCTAGGCCAAGAAGCATAAGAGAGTCACGAACGTAATTTTTTTTTTTTTTTTATAGATAGAGAAATGCGTTACGCACCGTAAGGAGGTTAGAGTTGAAATCAACCCCATGTGTGGGACTCGCCCTCAACCAATTTACGACGATCAGGGAATACCCACTAAAACTCTATCTGCCCGAGCTGATGAAAGTGCTCGGACGCGGCTTTATTTCGTGGTGCCGTCTTAGATGTTGGGAGACCACGTTCTCCAAAAAAAGGATGTGTGCGAAGAGATGTCAAGGCTACCTTATGCCTTTTCTACGACCTGTAGAGTTAATACCTGTATAACCACTGATGTGCGTGGTCATTTTATTCCACCGGAGCCAATTCATGTGCGAACCGCGGAGAGCTCTAACCGTGATGAAATCCAAACATTTGCTCAATCCGAGTTCGCACAGACTCGCGGTGGAAGCAGTGGACCAGATACCCCGCCAGGAGATCGTGATCGAAGAGAACGAGATGTTATCATTCTCGACCCCATACTCACTGGCGACCTGATGACGAATGTCAGGGGTATCATATTTGGCGACTTTCCGACGATGCGAGTAGTCAAGGGACGATAAAGCGCTGATGACTTGCGCATTGATCACCTCGACAACCTGATCCTTTACAGCGACGATATCTGGCTTCCGAAAGCCTTCTCTGGTATGAAAGTGCGGCTCTTGCCGGACGCTCCATCCCAACTGCCGGAGGCTACTGACTGCGATACGGCAAATTGCATCGTGTCGCAGTATTCGGCCTCCATGAGTGCGGTGACAGCCCTGAATGACGTGAGCTGCAGTTTCAGTAGTACCACAGCCTGCTTGATACTCGATAGGCGGGCCACCGACTCTGCGTCTGCCGCGTGATGTTCTAATGCGAGTCGGGAGAGTATTGACTCGTACATGATGGAAAGCACGTAGTCTCATCCGGAGAGGGACCCGCTGTTACAGTCTACCCACGAATGGCTCGCACGGACACGAGCACACTCGGAGAGCTCCTTGCAATCTTTCGCTTGATGAAGTAGCGAAGCCCAGTACCTGCCACGAACCTCCTGGTCAATAAGGGACCGCCCATGAAAGGACAGCGCCGTCTCGGCCCATCGGATCGAAGCCTGCACCGAGCGATGACAAAAGACACCCCTAACGGCAGCACAGGAAGACTCAGCCATATCCGAAAGCCTTGAATGAACCAAGGCTGGAATGGCTGTTCGGAAAGATGGAATTTTGAGTCCCTGGTCTTTACACCGCGCGTGGAAGTATCCAATGGGAACATCTTTCGGTAGCTGCAACCATTTGCGAACTTGTCGGTCAAGACTCTTAAGAGTTTGAAGATGGCATCTCGACAAGACTAACTGATGGTAATATCGCGGAACGAGGAAGCAGCGTAAGATCTTTAAACGCTGCTGAGGCTCTAGAGGAGCCGAGGCGATGTTAGCCAGCTCCCGAACTAAAGTACCCCCGGGCTTCCCGATACCAAGGGGAGAGAAATGCACCCCAAGGTATCCCAAGTGCTCGGTAGGGCCAAGCTGACGAACAGGCCCTCCGCCAATCTGAAAGCTTTCAGCAGTCGACACTTTATATGTCTTTCGCTTACTGGCAATCAAGATTGACATCGCGATGCACTTGGCCGCATTGAACTGCAGACCATATTTGGAAGCCTCGTCCCCGGCAGTTCGCAACATTTCTTTCATACCCAATATTGACGAGCTAAAAAGCACGATATCGTCCGCTTACGCCAGTGCGTCGATCTTGTGCTCACCCAGATGGTATCCTACCGAAGAAGGCAGGGAAATCAGAACCCGATCAACCACGAGAGAAAACAGGAGTGACGATAAAGGGTCGCCTTGACGAACACCTCTTGTCACCCTGATGGGCTCTGACTTCGAACGCTTAATGGTGAGCACAGTAGAGCTGTTCCTATATGTATCCTCGATATACCGGACGAAGGCGGATGGTAAGCCTAACCTCTTAAGTGTCGATGTTATTGCATGATGACTGACGCTGTCAAAGGCCTTTGCAACGTCGAGCGAAACGACGTGCAGTTCCTTCAACGATGACTTAGCGTCGCGGATAATTGTGCTAAGCACAGTGATATCCTCCGCGCAGCCATCATGCATGCCTCTCTGCCGCTCGTCCACAAGATTTGCCCGCATAACACGCGAAGCAAAAACCTTGTGTAAATGACGAACGACAACGGAGGAGACACTAATAGGACGGAAGTCTGATGGTAGTGAGCTGCCGTCTTTCTTAGATATAAATATCGTCCGGCTCAACAAGTGGTCTGATGGAAAACCACCGAGTGCAAGGATAACATTCAGGAACAATGCTCTAAGAGAGATCGGAATAGAACGCCACTGACGCGACGTAATGCCGTCGGGACCGGGTGCATATGACAAAGGCACCTCGCAGGCTAGGAGCTCACGCATTGATACAGGATCCGCTATGCACTGGAGGTCCCTATTCTCAAAGGCTGCGACACCGTCGAGCTCCTTCGAAGGAGTAGTGAGAATTGGCTCCCAGAACGAAACCATCTCCTCCATCGAAGGGAACACCAATCTAATAGGGCCATCCAGGACTAATTAAGTGGCTAATGACATTTTACTGACAAACAGCTCCTGCATCGCTGCGTACTCTCTTTGCCTCTTTCATCACCCGTCAGAAACCTTTCGCTTCGAGATCTTTGTCCTCCGTCGCCGGCTATAACACCGACGACGAGGGAGGGACGAGGGAGGGAAGACCTGGTCGAGCCATACGCAGGCATTGACAGATTAAATTTGGTCTTCCCTTAGGACGGCTTCGGCAATGCCCCTAATTACATCAGCCTTGTGCGTGGTAATATTCGCCGACCTACGAATCAAGGCACCAATCGCTTCGAAGATCGAGCGTTGCCTGAAAGATTCGCAGCCGGACGAACCGCCGTCCAATTCATTGTTATTGGAATCGATGTTCCGTGGCGTAAGGATGACATCTACGCCATCTTCAGAAGTTGAGAAGGACCTTCACAAGTCCAACATCAAAGCGTCGGCAGAGGTGCTGATTGAGGAAGCGAACTCCATCAATCGCCGCCCGCACCTCCTCCTTTGCAAATATTTGCATCTCATCTTCTTTCCAATGTTTTTCACTACTCGAGAACTCAATCCGTGCATTGGCTTCATTCGGGTGTTGTCGGAAATGTACACTAAGTCCACGCTGCCTGGTAAAAACTCTGCTGCAGACAGTACAGGTCAAATTTACTGCTGCTCCTTCTGCCTGTGGTGCATCGGCACCACCTCGCGCATTTGCTGCCGCTGGGCTGGTGATCCGATTGATCCGAGGGTCCGCCAGCGGTGGATCACTTGATCCACAGAAGTTTCTTTCGTTCCTAGAGCCAACGACAAAGCAAACTCTTAGGCTGGCAACCCAAGAGCCGACTATTAGCAATAACCAGCAACTTAGCCTTGCCGACAAAAGTCGACAAGATACCGACTCTCGGGTGGTTATGAAAAACTCGGACCTGGCTGGTTTAGCACTTGGGCAAAGCCCTTAAGAGAGCCCGTGGACGAAAACGATAAATATCATATAAATATCACATATTTATTAGAGTGTACCCCTTTTTTAAATATTTCGAATAAAAAGAATAAAATATAATATATTTCAGGAGCCGAGTGAAAAACTGTAAGATTGTATATTTTTGCAGGTCAGTGCACAACATGGATGCTGAAATCAAAAATTTTCAGCTCGGAGTAGCACCAGGCAAATAAATACTAATTTGGAAATAAAAAGCTTTGCGATTTTTTTTCTCCCAAAGGAAGGGTTTGGCGAAAAATTTTCTCTGAACAAAAAGTGCTTAATTTTGATCAAAGAATATGTGTGAACTTTTTCTTCAGAGAAAATTTTTCGCCAAACCCTTCCTTTGGGAGAAAAAAAATCGCAAAGCTTTTTATTTCCAAATTAGTATTTATTTGCCTCGTGCTAATCCGAGCTGAAAATTTTTGATTTCAGCATCCATGTTGTGCACAGACCTTCAAAAATATACCATCTTACAGTTTTTTACTCGGCTCCTGAGATATATTTTATTTTATTCTTTTTATTCGAAATATTTAAAAAAGGGGTACACCCTAATATTTATATCAGTAGCGATTATACAATTTATTCTTGAATACAGAAACGCAATATAAACTCAGAAACATTTTAAGATAAAATGGAAGTAATAAAATCCTCATTATTAATAGCAATAGACTTATTATAAAACTTAGCAAACACTTAGGACTTATCTGATCAGCCGGCAGTATTTTTAATAACATCCAAACTAACGCCCTTACTAAACGCTTTGCTGGACGCAGCATGTCTCGTCGAATAACAAGAGAAAATGCTTATGTCTATTCCACTGTCACACAAAACACTCTTGATCCACCGACTAATAGTATCCTTTTCAACTGCTTCATGAGGCTTTTTACCCGAAATAAAGAGCTTATTATCGGAATGAAGAGAGTTTTAGTTTTCTCAATATAATAATCTAAAGTAAAAGCAACACAAAATTCCGGTTTATCGCGAAAATAAGGCAACAAGAGTAAAGGTTGTGTTTTCCCCGGCGCAGAAGTTTTAATTAAATCCGAAATTTCTATTTCGATTCTCTCCTCGCAACGAACTATATTTTTAATGTCAATCGCAGTGATAGTTTGTGACCTATGCGCAGTAACAAGAGCCAATAACGTAGCTAATTTTTTCGCGATAACATCCAAAGATAAATTTTCCAACGGAAACAAAGACGCGATTTAGAACAATATTAACATCCTACGTTCTATTATACTTGGGCTTCGTAGGACGAGCTCTAAAAACACCTTTGAAAAATTTTTTCAAAGACTTATCATCGGCAATATTATAAACTAAAATATCAGATAAGGCCGGCTTAGCACAATTAATTGTAGGATAACTCGCATCAGCATTGAATTTTCTAGTCAAAAAATCAATTATTTTTTGAATTGGTGCACTAAAACGACCCACATCTTCCTTCTTACAATAATTTACCTACTCGATTAAAGTTGAACTATACTGTTTAACAGTGTTACTTGACAGAAAATCCATTAAAATTTTTACAGAATCTTTGGTAAATCCCTTGTAAATATACGATTACCGGATAATTTCCCGGCCAGCAAAGAAAGTTGATCCTTTAACCGATGACTGATTTTTCTACAAGGAGACAATAAAAGTTTATCATCAAGCTTGAAAACCAACTTTTTCCCAACTAATAATTTTATAAATACTGGATACCAAGATTGTGTTGTTCAAAAAGGTACAACAACAACACCGGTAGCTTTCTCAATAACAATTTTTTGTAAAACTTTGGAAATGAGAGAAAAAGGCGGGAAAGCATAAAAATTACAATCTTTTCAAGAAATTGTAAAAGCGTCGACGACAAATGCATCCGGATCTTTAAACCATGAACAAAAAATATCACATTTTCTAGTAACTCTAGATGCAAATAAATCAATAGAAAAATTGCCGAATTTATTCTCAATTTTACAAAAAGCAAAAGGAGAAAGCTCCCACTCGGTGTCAATACTAGTGACCCGTGATTGTGCATCATCGACAATATTCTCACGACTAGGAATATACGACGCAAATAACCAAATACGCCTTTTTTCTGCCCATTTCCAAATTTTCCTGGTTAACAAATTATATTTAGCGTAACGTGCATCCCCCATACGGTTAATATAAGAAAGTGCTGTGGTATTATCAATACTCAATAAAATTTCACAATTACTCATAGAATCGGCGAAAGCTTTCAAAGCGAGAAAAACAGCAAGTAGCTCTAAATAATTGATAGTTTTCTCTCTCATCGGCAGTCCAATACCCGCCAATTTTTTCAGTAATACACGAAGCGCCCCAACCCGATAGAGACGCATCGGTAAAAATCACAAGCTTGAAATCAAACTTATAAATAAGCTTAAAACACGTCACAATATTTTGATTCCACCATTCAAGATCATCTACGGTAGCCTTTGACAAACGCATACTGCCATCATAACTGTCATTACACTCACACAAAGCCTTAGATTTATCCATTTCGAAATTCTCAGTATATAACATGACGTATTGAACACCAGGAAAAGCCGATACCAAAACTCCTTGAAGCTGAGCATAATCTCTGATTTTATAACTTTTACTGAAATTAAATGCCGTAAGCTTGTTTTTAATACTTAACTTTCTTTTCTCAGACAATTCAACAGTATATTTAATGAAATCAATAACAAACCCTCAAAATTTACATCTTGTAACCGGTATTATACAACTTTTCTTAAAGTTTATTACAAATCCAAGATATGAGAGAACTTTCGCAGTTTCTCTAAAGTTTTCCAAACAGTCATCATAAGAATTACCATACAGTAATGAGTCATCCAGGTACACAACCGACTTAAACCCTTTTGATCACAGAAAACCAAAAACAGGTTTTAACATATTTGTAAAAATATAAGGACTGAGACAAAAACCAAACGCTAAAGTCGTAAATTGAAATAATTGTCCATCAAACTCAAACCTAAAATATTTCTGACTTCTTACGGACAATGGCACGAATAAAAACGCATCATTTAAATCAATAAATGCCGCGTGAAATGCCGACTGCAAAGACAATCATTTTTGCAAATTGCAACCAAGCATCAAGTTTGTCAATAGACTGTTTATTGTCGAAGTGGTCTGCTATTGTAACTTTACATTTACCACAAGTCGGGAATGCGTGCATGCTTATTCCCGGATCTGTTGATTTATTTAGACACCCCGGAACCGCACAAATAGATTAACTTTTTTTTTATATTACTACTATTGTTTTTCAACTCCATTTTAAGACATTTGAGCGTTAAATTAAATCGAATTTTTAAAAAAACGTCAATGCTCCCATAAGCCACCGTGTATAAGCTCCTTGGCTATAGAGGACATATTGGATTTTATCTCCCTCTAGGCGCTCGCATTACATCCCAATAGACAGTGTACTTCGGCGCGGTCCACGCTGGTAGTTCCTACTTCGGTTGCCGAGTCTTAGGTGCGCATCTACTACTATAGCATTGAGTGACTCTGTCTACAGCTTGAGCTGTGCTTGTTATATATCTCGTATGGACTTGGGTTCAACCGTGTGACTGCTTATACCTGCGTCGGTCTTGCATGAGATAGAAAATTGAAGTAGTGTGAGTCGACGCCACTGACAAGGTCTCAGCTCTCACTACCAAAATTTGCAATGAGTCGAAAAGTATCTATAAAAATTGATTCAGAAATGTTGAATCAAATCAAATTCATCTGCACAGTAAAATAGAGTAAGACAAGGCCGAGGCTGCCAAAGCTTTGACGGTTACGGATGCGTCTTGTTACTAACCAAAAAGTATTAATGAAAAATGGAATCAGTGATTTTTTAAAATTTAATTAAAAATAATACCTTGGAAATTTGAAAAAGTAAATTTAAAATATTAAGTTAGCCGTCTATGGACAGTCATCAGAAGTGAAACTTCTTGAGAATTTAATTAACTGAATACATTAAAATATGAATGAAGAAAACTGTTGGAAAATTTAAAAGAAAAGCATGAAAAATCAAGTCTTGAAAAAGGGACCTGAAAAACAAGACTTAATTTTTGTTGCTTTTTTTTAAATTTTCAAAGATTTTTCTTCTTTCATATTTTGACGTAAGGTATACGAAAAACGCTCACGGAAACACCTGTATCTTGGTAGAAAATCAAAATTTCGGAGTTTTGAAGAATGCAAGTGAAACGGGAGGAAAAATCCTACTACAAAATTTAAGTAAAATATGACGTCTAGTACCGCCACTCTATGTCATATTTTTTTGCCTGCAATCATAATTGATCTCCTATTTACCCATACCAGAGTTGTCTCGATCCTAGATCACAAATTCCTATGTTAATGACCCAATTCGTGTCACGTTGATAATTGACAAAACTAATTCTACGATTCATAATTATTCTACATTTTTTTTATAACTTTAATCATGATTTTCTTTTTATTTTGTATGTTATGATTTGGTGAGATGAACAAATAGTTATAACTTATATAAAAATGTACTACACAAATTAATATTTCTGCGTAATAATAAATGTAACTATAAATATAATTAAAAAGTTCAAGTAAATCAATTTACAATAGAAAAAAAAAGTAGCGCTGCAAGATGTGTAACTAAAGTCACATTTAAAGGTAAAAAATAAAAAAAATAAACAAATAAAATAAACCAAATAAAACGAAAAAGTACTTGACGTTGCACTTCTGGTGTCCGAGCATATTAAACAAAAATCACCAGAAGTGCAACGTCAAGTACTTTTTCGTTTTATTTGGTTTATTTTATTTGTTTATTTTTTTTATTTTTTACCTTTAAATGTGACTTTAGTTACACATCTTGCAGCGCTACTTTTTTTTTCTATTGTAAATTGATTTACTTGAACTTTTTAAATCGAATTACTCGCATTTTGTTTTGATTTAATTACTCGAATTTTAGATAAAATTACTTGAATTGTTTAATGTTAAATTCTATTTTTAATATTCATAAAGACGTTACACATCTTACAGCTGTTCTTATACAGCTGATTTTGTTTTAATAAAACTGATTCAATTTTAATAAAACTGATTTTTCGATTTATTCTGTAGTCAATACCTTCCGATTAATTGTGATTTCGTTTATTGAGTGTCGAGGCCGCTTGCGCGGCCTCAACTTACATTAAGTTCCGTTTCAAAACGAATTCAAGTTTAATTCAAATTTTCGATTTAGTTTTAATAATTTTGACCGATCAACACACGTAAAAACGCAACGCGCGAGCGAGAGACAGAGACGCAGAGATACACAACGCTACATTGTACGTTTCATAGAAATGAGCTGTAACTGTCGAGTACTGCTCGCCCGTGCTGTGCGTGTCGCAGCAGAAGCGAACTAGCAGTCACTCGACACTGCCTAGCGTAGACCAATCACAGCGCGAGAAGCAAACAGACGCTACTGAGACTAAAAACCTACGATTATCGCGCTCGCTCGCTCGCTCGTTTTTCACGGATTCACTAGCCTACCCAACGAGCCATAAGACGTTACACATCAATAAATAAAATAAAACTGCGTAATTTGGCTGTTTTGCTCACTCGCGCACACCGCTGGGGCATCTATCATGATTCACCCCATATACGTATGACCGCACGCAGCACACAACACACGCAAAAGCGGGCATACACGCATACGCACACATATAATTGCGCCTTTAGAAAAGACAGAGAGGAACTCCTAGGCTATTTGGAGTAAGGCCTGAACAATAATCTTTTTAAACAAAAATCACTTATTTAACAAAAAAAATTTGAGTTTGAGGTGTGTTTAAGATAATGTCCCCTCAAGCAATTTATTAACAATGACCTTTGGTGGTCTTCCGATTCTAACATTCTTTAATAATATTATTTTTTATTTTTAAGAAAAGAACAGGATTAGTATTTCATTGTTTCATTTTGTTTTTCATTAATAATTTAAACATTTCTCCTTCAGGAATGGGCGGTACATCAGCAATGTCAGAAGTTGAACAAACTCTTAGCAGTTTAAATGGTTATCATGATGATATTTTAGAAGCCTTAAGAAACGCGCATCGAGATCTAACTAACCATCCATCTGATACAAATGATATGATTGATGATGGAACTCTCAGAAAATCTGTAATAGATCGAGGCTTTAATGATCAATTTAAAAAAAAACGAATGAGTAGAGACCACATAGATGATCATGAAGTTGATGATGATGATGACATTCCGCCGTCATGTGGTACGATAAGAATTCGTACTTTAGAAGACATAATACGCCAGCTTGAGCATCATTCAACTCGTCATATGAGCCCTATTGAAGCAGATGACTTACGGTTGTCAGAAAATGAAAACGAGCGACCATATAAAATCGATTCTTCTGTTTGCAGTGAATCATCACAAGGGTACGCTAATTTCTATTATTTTTTATCATGTATATGACGGAGTCCATGCTGGACCAGACAGCGCGCTCCAATGGAGCGTATTCAAATGAATCGCAAATTTTCTTACTTGTCATGTTTCTAATGATGGTATTAGTTTTTTTAAAAAAAATTTAATTCTGAATAAAATTGACTTTGATGTTAACTTAATTTTTCGGCAAGTATACCCCTTTCGATTTTGTTTGTAGATATCTAAATCAAAAGATAATCTTATAACGAAGGTATGTATAAAATTTCAAGTTGGAGACTCAAACTGTTCAAAAGTTATGAACAATTAAGTACCAAAAAATGTGATTTTACGGCCACGCGTGGTTATGATGAGAACATCGACTCTTGTTGTTCCTTCTCCTACTGGCTGAGCGAAGAGAGGTCAAACATGGCCAAAATTCGTCCATAAAACTAAGTTTTTTGGTACTTAATTATTTGTAACTTTTGAATCATTGAGTCTCATACTTGAAATTTTATACAAACCTTCGTTATTAGATTATCTTTCAATTAAGATATAGCAACGAACAAAACCAAAAAGGGGTATACTTGCCGAAAAATTGGGTTAACTTTGAAGTCAATTTTCTTCATAAAAATTAATTTTTTTTTCAAAAAACTAATGCCACCATTAGAAAGAGCAGACAAAAATCTATCAAAACTTATACGTGCAATATTTTTCTAGACCCAAATCCACCGCACACGGCAAGTTAAAAACGTTGCGATACATAAAACATGCTCTGCGCCAGCTCACTGTCTGATCGAGCGAGAACTTCGACATATATGCTAAACCAGAATTAGAGATATACCAAAAATAGAACATTCTAAAGATATGTGTACTTTTAAGCGGAGTTGTACACCAAATATGACAAAAAATCTTTTTTTTTTGTTCGCCTTAGGGCCTTCTTGAAGATTTGAAGTATCATTTCCCGATGTTTTAGACTTCAAAATAAATTATTCATATCATTATAAGGTGTCTATGTATCTGAAATCGATAAAATGTGGTATTTGTCAATTTTTGTTGTTTTTTTTCGTCCGTGCAAATAATTCTACTATTGTTCTGCAACCAACCATCAATTTAAAAATACGGTTTATTTTTCATAAATATTTGATTTTTCAGTTGTGACATTAAAATTCTGTTTTTAAAATACAATTTGGCTATCTAAGTGGTATGAGAACTTATTGCTACTACTGCTGATAATGCTGCCTCACGTATTCAAGTTTTGAAATCAAAATTCAAAGGAAATCATGCACCAATTCACTTCTCTTGGTCATTTTTGTTATATAAACCACAGTTTAATGTCAATCTACAATTTCAACATTAGATTGACATCTTTGAGCCCTAAAAAATGTGGGAAAAATTGTAGAATAGGTCTTTGCATTTAAAAATAGCTTATTTTTGCGATTTTTAGCCGTTCAGCACTGTGGACAAGATTCAGATCAGAGTTTTTCAGGTGGGAATTCCTGGTACGAATCAAAATCTTCAGAAACGTATCTTTTATGGTCTGAGTTTTGTGGAATTTTGATTAGAGTTATAAAAAAGTTTGTATTCCAACAGATGTAAAAAAAGCAAGAAATGAAAAAAATTTATTAATATTTTTAAGCACATATTGAATAATAGAACTGATATGAAGGTCTAAATCAAAATTTTACAAAACTCAGCCCATAAAAGATACTTTTCTGAAGATTTTGATTCGTATCAGAAATCCCCACCTGAAAAACTCTGATCTGAACCTGGCGCACAGTGCCAAAAGGCTAAAATAGCAAAAATAAACTATTTTTTTTTAGATGTAAAGGCCTATTCTACAGGAGTCGCGTCCGAGCGCCCATAGCGAGCAGTCATATCGCCTAACCTTTATTCGCGGACGCGGTATCGATTTTTTAAAGTGTTTATCACGCAAAGTAAAAAGTGATGCACATCCCTCAGTTTATAGTATAAGCTGTTCTGATGTTATATATAAATTCAAAAGTAATTATAATTTATTACTAAGAAGGAGAGCCTTTCATCTTTGGGTCACAGATCCTTACGAAACTTGGCCCTGGAAACCATTATAAAGTACCATGAAGTATATAATGTAGGGTCAAAATAATACTTTTTTACAAAACCGTGCGCACATATGTCACCGATCTTGACGCGCTTTTGTTATGTTATAGTACATGGTAAAAAGGTCCCGAAAAAAAATTTTTAGACCCACTCCCCCCTCCTATCCCCCACTTCCGGTGTAAACGTCCATTTTCGATCTATATTTTTTCTGAGGACATGAAGCAAGTGAAAAATCTGAAAAAATTCATAAAAATACTTTCCCACAATCCAAACAACATTGAATTTTTTCAGATTTTTTGAGTGCTTCAGGCCTTCAGAAAAAATTATTGAAAATTTCAAAAATCGAGATACAGCGGTATGAGCCGATGTAGTACTCGGAAATTTTTTCAGTTATTTTTCGCATTAAAAAACATAACCTCAATTTTTTTCAGATTTTTTCAGAATACCTAACGCACCTTTTGAAGCCAAAAACCGCTTATTTTAACGAGATAATTTTTTTAGGACGATACGGAGCCTCGAAAAATCTGGACATATTTTTTTCTTGTTTTTTTCATCAAAATACATGACTTCAAATTTTTTCAGATTTTTTAATTGAAGGCGATGGCTTCTAGGGCCGAAAAATGCTATTTTTAACAAAAAAAGGTTCCTAGAACCCGATGGTTCCGGTAAAAAAATTTGAAAATTTTTATTTTGGATTCCTTGACAAATTTTAATAAATTTTGACCGTTTCAGAAATTCCGATTGAAGCCTCCTAGCTCAATCTAGAGCAGGACAAAGATTAATGCAAATTTCTGAAGACGGTTTCTGAAGACATTGCGAAACGATAAAACTATTTTGATGCTCTAGATTGAGCTAGGAGGCTTCAATCGGAATTTCTGAAACGGTCAAAATTTATTAAAATTTGTCAAGGAATCCAAAATAAAAATTTTCAAATTTTTTTACCGGAACCATCGGGTTCTAGGAACCTTTTTTTGTTAAAAATAGCATTTTTCGGCCCTAGAAGCCATCGCCTTCAATTAAAAAATCTGAAAAAATTTGAAGTCATGTATTTTGATGAAAAAAACAAGAAAAAAATATGTCCAGATTTTTCGAGGCTCCGTATCGTCCTAAAAAAATTATTTTCGTTAAAAAAAGCGGTTTTCGGCTTCAAAAGGTGCGTCAGGTATTCTGGAAAAATCTGGAAAAAATTGAGGTTATGTTTTTTAATGCGAAAAATAACTGAAAAAATTTCCGAGTACTACATCGGCTCATACCGCCGTATCTCGATTTTTGAAATTTTCAATAATTTTTTCTGAAGGCCTGAAGCACTCAAAAAATCTGAAAAATTCAAGGTTGTTTGGATTGTGGAAAAGTATTTTTATGAATTTTTTCAGATTTTTCACTTGCTTCATGTCCTCAGAAAAAATATAGATTGAAAATGGACGTTTACACCGGGGATAGGAGGGGGGAGTGGGTCTAAAAAATTTTTTTCGGGACCTTTTTACCATGTACTATAACATAACAAAAGCGCGTCAAGATCGGTGACAAACGTGCGCACGGTTTTGTAAAAAAGTATTATTTTGACCCTATAATATAATGTATAAAATACCGTATAATGGTATCAGATTTACACAGTCAAGTCTAACTGACTGAGAAGTATGTATACTTAGAGTTTTTAATGTCCAATACACCTTTTTAATCAATAAACAATTTAACTCAATTGGTTTACTGGGAAAGTCTCAAAGAACGAACCAATTTGAGCTAAAATTTGTGCATTGTAACACGGTGGCGTGTTACGCGACACTCGGACAGAGTAGAGTCCGGTGGGTGCTCATCCCTGTTCCTTTCCCTTACCCTGACGCCGTCGCGAGATGATAATTTCGCGAGTCAATGCGATCGCGAGGCGAATGCGAGAGAGAGCATATCGGGCACGGAGAGCATGACACCAGAAGGAAGGTCACGTGACTGAGACTGCCTCTGCTCACGAGAGACTACTACCAATGATGATGGGAAGCAGACGACACTTCTGGCGCCTTGGGTCTTTGTGGCAGGCTTGTGAGCAGCTTGAAGCACTCTGTCTCCGATAGCCCTACAGCGCGAACGTGTGCGAAACCGTCGATCTGCACCTTGTAAAATTGTAACACGCAAGTGTGTGTGAGCTGCTGCGTTGCTGTCCGAGGGTCTGTCCTTCGCTGCCAAGGTCCTGCTACCGCTTTTTCTGGGGTGAGGGTCGCCCGTCGTATTTGGCTATTCACAGCTCGAGTCCGCAACGAGTAAGTCGTTTCCAGACATTTATCTGCCAAGCTGCGCTCTCTCTCTCTCTCTCTCGCGAATTCCCGTATAAATTCTAGATCCTCACTCACCGAGCAGAGTCGTCATATAGCCGACGCGAACGAATTCGAGTCACATAATTAAGAATTGTACTCTGTGTATTATATATATTTCATTGCAAATCATTTGGCTCTTGATAAGGTGTCACCTCCGTGACTGGCGCCAAATAAATTACCTGGTCGTTAATTTTACCATTAAATAACTAGCCTAATTATCAGTACAACCCTGACTCCATTTCAGCATCCACATGGATTAAACGGGCCACATCTTGCCCGGATTGGCAACCATTACAACTAACCGTTATTTATCAACTAATATTTATATTAAATCATGTAAAAATGTTTTCATTTATAAAACTTACTGTTCTTGCTTTCTCACCTATTTCTGACACTCAAAACATATGTAAATTCACTTCAGATGAGTGTCAGGAATACGTGAAGAGAAGGGATTTGTGAGTTATACAAATAAAAACATTTTCATATATTTAACATCAATATTCATTGTTTCATACGTTAATTTTAGCTCAAATTGGTGCGCTCTTCAAAACTTACACAGCGAACCAATTGTTCAGCTATTGCGTAACTTAGGCATATCGGGCGCGACTGTGGCTTGTGCTCGATGGGGGAGT